ATTGTATATATATACTTTAAAACAGAGTTAATTCTAGGCTTTCTATTGCAAAGATCAATAAATTTAGAAAATGAAGAGAAGGCATCTCCTATGGACTATCATTTAGGTATTTTTCTGTTTAGTTTTTTCCCCCATTTATTCAATAAAACCCTACTGAATACTTATTACATGTCAGGCATGGGTCTTGGTGCTGGGGAAACAGTCCCAGAAGATAACAGCTAGTATAGCTTAAGGGCTTCCCCCTAGTGGGGGTGGTTGTAGGTTAGAGAAAACAAAGAACTAGGAGTCCTGGTGTGGTGTGGTAGGATAAGTACTGGACTGCTGACAACATGGTCGGTGGTTCAAATCCTTCAGCCATTCCTTGGACAGTCTATACAGAGACACTATGAGTTGGAAGGAATCCAAAGACACTTAAACAACATATAAGAGCTATAGGAAAAAAAAATATTGGGAGTAAGGAGTGTGGAGTTGGGGTGACAATTCTATCTAGGTGACTGGGAAGGTCTCTTTGGGACACTGGAAGAGACTGGAATGAAGTGAGGGATCTACATGGACATCTAGGAGAAGCGTATTCCAGATAGAAGGAGTAGCAGTACAAAGCCCCTGGGACAGTGAGGAAGTCAGATGAAGGGAGCAGAGTCTGGAGAGAGGGGAGGGGTCTTGGAGGTGACAGATTGGATCAGGTAAGGGAGTGCTTTCTCCGACTTTAATGTGCTTGGATCCCCTGGGAACTTAGCAAAAATGCTGATTCTATAAGGGAAATGAAGTTCTGACTGGGGACCAAGATTCTATATTTCTGAGAAATCCCAGTGATGCCAATGCTACTCTATTCATCACACTTTCAAAGGTGTGCCCCTGTGGGTCAGAGTAAGGATATGGCTTATATTCTCAAGGGTCTGGGGAGTCTTTGGAATACCCAAAATTGCAGGATATTCCAGAAGAATTGCTTTGGCTACTGTGGAGGTTAGTCTGTACCCCTACAGTCTAAGAAATAGAAGCATTAAACCACAGAGTAGAAGCATTAACCCACAAGGTATGGCTTAGATAGGAAGGTCTTAATGAGGAGGAATGATCAGAAACTAGATAGTTTGAAGGTGAGCCACCAGCTATTAGATGACATGTAGAGTATAAAATGGAGGAAGTTAAGATGACAAGGTTTTAAGCTGGAACAAGGAGAAACTATAATTTCTGTTTACTGACTCAGGAGAACAGAATAAAGACCAGTGTCTGATGACAGAACCTCAGAACATGATAGACTGAGGTGTCCATCAGACTTTTGCAAACAAGGCTCTATTTGGATCGAAGAACAAGGCTGGAGAGCGAGAAAATAGAGAGATCTTTTCTGGGGACAGAAGAGGTCCTCTGAAACTTTGAGTGCGGAGAAAGTAGGAGAACCTGTGAAGGGCTGGCAAGTGGCAGCCAGGGAGTAGAAGAGAAACCAGGTATTTGTGGTCACAGTTGTGTATGTTGTCTATTGCTGTGTAATAAACTATCCCAAATGGAGTGGCTTAAAATGGCAATTAGTATTTGTTATGATTATGTAAGTGAGCCAGGTGGTTCTTCTATCGTGTGGTGTGCCAGGGATCCCTCATTTGACTACCTTGCCTGGGTCCTTACTGCCAGGGAGTGTCCACTGATGGGAGCAGATGCTGGAACTGCTGAATCTCAGAAGGCCTGTACCTGGATTTGCAGAGCTCCACATTACTACATTCTGTTGAGCAAGGTAGTGAGGCAATCCCAGACTCAAATGCATTGAGATAAAGACCACCTACCACAGTATTTACAATTTTATGTACTCTGTTAAAAGTGGGAAACTGGGTTGAGTAGTGTAGCAGACACTGAACTGGGAGTTGGAGGCACTGAATGCTACTTCTTCTCTTCAGGAAGTCCTTGTTATTTCTCTGAGTCTCAGTTTCCTCATTGTTTCACAAGGGATTGGACTAGATGACTTTTAAATAAGGGGAGAAGGGCAGGTGAATTGCTGGCCAAGTGTCAGCTGTGACCGCTGTCTGCAGTCCCGAAGAGGTCATTCAGTACACCGAGCCTTGTTAGAATTGCATCTTCCCATGTAGATTTCACAGCTGTGGGAAGGAATCTTTCCCAAACTCAAAGAACTAACAGACTATTTTCCCCAGCTCCACTGCCCCTGTGTTTACCTTCCTTATTGAGTTGCCTTTTGAACACAAAATATTTAAGAGTCTGACTGAGACAGACTATATGATTTTCCTTCTATCTGTCCTGGCTTGAAAGCAACAAACACACTAGCCACATCTATGTGTCCAGGTTTCTTTGTGCCAGTTCCAGGCTAGATGTTGTATAGACATCATTGCATTTACTCTTTGCTGCAGCCCCTATAAGGGAGGTGTACCTCCATTTCCCAAAAAGGGAAACTGAGGCACACACAGGTTAAGGAACTTGTCCAAGGTCACAAGCTACTAGTATGTAACTGAGCCAGGGTTTGAACCCAGGCCAGAGATAATGAAGTACTTGGAGAAAATTCCCATCACCTTAATTCACCTAAGGTTTCCAGGAGCTGTGCTTCCCTGCTACATTTTTCCCTCACCATGAGCTGGGGCAGGGAACTGAATGGTATGAACATGGAACCTCAGACCATAGGCCTAGAACTCTGCAGGCTCCTGGCCTGAGAATCCCCGGGTAGCCCATGTATCCCATGGAGCATGTGTGCATTAGAGGGGTGAGCGATTCACTTCCAGAGAGCACACATGGAATAATATTTTGAATCCAGCCTCTGAGAGGTTGAACTCTGGTTGTTGGGCTCACCTGTACGCTTTGCTCCACTTGGAACTTGCACTTCCCCACCCCCACCGCGCCTCTGCTCTGAGCTTGGTGCAGCTGCCCGGCTCCACTTCAACCCCCCTTCCCTGGTTCCGAGAATAGCGCACAAACTGAAACCAAAAAGGTTAGACTCAAGAGTCAAACCCGCAGCGCTGACCAGGTGGGCCCACAGAGATCTTGCAGGGTGGACCCTGTTCCACCCGAACGCCTCTGCGGCCCCTCCTCAGGTTCTCCTTTCAGTTGACACTGCTCTAGAAACAACTTATAGCGCAGCTAAACAGAGGCACAGGTCTTGGCCAGTGGGTGGTACCCGGAGGGCGGAGACAAGGCGGGACCGCGGAGACAAGGGGCGCACAGCTAGACCGAAGCCGGCTTCTGCTAGCTTCCGCAGGCGGCGTTGACTCGGGAAGAACAGCCGGCCTGATGGCGGCGCGCAGCCTGGGCCGCGGGGTCTGGAGGTTCCTGGGCAGCCTACGGGGGCGCCCTGGGCAGCCTGTTCGGACACTACTGTTCGGGGCGAGTGAGACTAGCGGGCGGGCCTCTGGGAGCCAGAGCAGCGGCCCAGCCGTCGATGCTGAGCAGCGGGGCTCATACACAGCTTTGAGAGCTCAGGCGGCCCGGGAACCGGCCGCCTTCTGGGGGCCGCTAGCTCGAGACACACTGGTGTGGGACACCCCTTACCACACCGTGTGGGACTGCGACTTCAGCAGTGGCAAGATTGGCTGGTTCCTGGGAGGCCAGTTAAACGTGTCCGGTGAGTGGGCTGGGGGGGACCCAGGGGCCCAAAGACTCCCCATCAGCAGTAGCAGTCTACGGCCAGGCGATCGCAGCTGGTATCTTTACAGCCCCACTAGAGGATCGATTCCAAGTATCCTAACCCCGTCCTCACTAACACCTGGTGCCAAGCCACCCCTCCACTCGGATCACTCCCCTTCACGTCCTCTTTCCTCCCCAGTCCCAGAGACTCTTTCCCTGATCCCGCGGTACTGGGGGCCCCGCCCTGCCCCGCCTTGCCCGGAATCCTATTCCTTACTAGGGCCAAAGTTAGTTTAGAAGCCCAGCTGCTGGCTTCGCCGTCTTAGGAGGCTCCTCTGTCTCTTACTGCGAAGTTTAATGACGGTTCCACAGCAGCGCCGCGAAGCACCAGCTTAGGCGGTAGACACCTAGGCCAAGCTGGGATGGAGGTTGCGCGGTGCTCTGTTGAAGGGGGCTCCCCCGCTCTAGTCCCACGCTGGAGGACGATATCTTTTGGTTTGTTACCACTAGCTAGAGCGCAGTGCGCAGTCGCTGTTTGCAGATAAGTCCTGACCCAGTAAACAGAGCTGGTGACCCTGAACTGAGAAATCCCAACCCAGCCGCGAGTATCAGTTATCTCCTTGCTCCAGGCCTGTAGGTGAGAAGGACCGCACGTTAGGGAGTTCCAGTCTTCAGCCTCAGCTGTGTTCTCTAAACCCCAATGCCTGCTTTAGATCTGGTCGCGTGAGATCTCAGAAAACAACTTCATTGCCAAGTCTCATTTTTTTGACATTTGCTGAGTCTGAACTACGACTTCTGTTAAGACAGTGCCCCATCCCAATCGAAGGCACTACCTAGCCAGCAAAGGGAATAGGACCTGAATTGGAGCTAGTGGCTCAGTGGTATTGGGGAGGAGGGAACTTGGGTCAAGGCAGGATGCCAGGGAGAGGCTAAGCCTCTCCTCCAGGGAGATGAGTCTGGTGAGGTGTGTTCAAGGAAAGGACTGCAGATATGACAGTTTGTCTTGTCTCTGCCAAGACTGGAACTTCGAAGGAGATCATCTGACTTCCCAACCAACTCCACCACTTTCTGGCTGAGTTATTCTATTCTAGCCTCAGTTTCCTTATGTGCAGAATGTGGGTGACAATGCCTACCCCCTAGACTGGTTGTGAGGAAGGAGTGCTGTAAGGTATATTGTAGACCCAGTTCAGGCCCCACTACCTATTGACAATAAGAGACAGTATTTTAAATGTATTGTATTAAAAATAGCCATGAAATTATATGTGGTGTCTTGAAGGTGTTTTTCAAACAAGTAAACATAAGGAGACTTTGACCAGATTTTTGTAGTGTAAATTATTTGCTGGCTTAATCAAAATGAGTCATTTACTAGATAAGGGTTTCCTTTAAAACTGAGTCAGCAGCAAGTATGTATCCATGAACTAGTGGAATAAAAACCCCTAAGGTTTGCAAAGTTGGTGAAATGTGCCCTGAAGAGAAGAGCAACAGAGTAGAAAATGTGTAGCTTATGGGGATGTATCCACATTAGGAAACATAGGGCCACATGGAAGCCCCTCGTTGGCTCCTGCACATTTGCAGTGTCTCATGCTCAGATAAGGGGACAGAAAAGACCTGCAGCCTCTTCTGTTATGTCTTGGCATAGACAACAATTCTTTAGTTATTCCCTCCAAAGATGCTGCCTCTATAGCTACCTGGACTAGAAGATGAACTTCAGAAAACTGCCTAGCACAAAGCCAGTTTTTCAGCAGCATTCTTACCTCAAATGTTGTGTCCACCCAATCACTCATTTAGCCAGGAGTATCTCTGCCCTTTGCCTCTGTGTGTACAGTCACAGAGTTGACAGATGTGCCAGGTCAGACTATTGTTGCTCTAGAAAATTATAGAATGGGTGGGAATATACTGGCCTGATATGTATGTCATAACTGATAAAGTCATGGTTGTTTCAAAGAAGCATCACTCTTGAAACTTCCATTACGCTTTCAGGAATATCTGTAGAGTGCTCCCTTACGTAGCTGGTTCCTGGCATGGGTTTGGGTGGGGAGGTCTCAAACACAGAGTTCAGCTTGTGTTAGAACACCTGAATAGGGCTTCTCCATGGGCTTTGCCATGGCTGGAGAAGAGAGGTCCAAGAGACCCAGGCAGAAGCTGTTAGACTTCTTCTGACCTTCCTTGTTTGACTTAATCTGATACCTATAGGTTACCTCATCTGTTGGCATCAGTTAAAAAAATTTTTTTACCTCATCTGTTGGCATCAGTTAAAAAAAAATTTTTTTTTTTTTTTAACCAACAAGAATATCAATTCACCTGCTTGGAAGGCTGTTGTTAGTATTAAATAAGAAAATGCTCACAAAGCGCTCAGCACTGTCCACAGCAAGTACCCAATAGCTGGTCATTGCTGTTTACTAATGAGACATGCAGATGGGCATACTGTGGCCTCCGCATGTGGCCTCCAGCAAGGGTGATACCCCACAAGTGTATGTCTCAGCAGCCTGGGGGAGGCGGGAAGCTGGCTCTGAGCAGGTAGTGCTGACTGCCTAACTGGTCCTTGCAGCACCCTGGTGTGTGTGGCCAGGTAGCAGGGGGTGCTGTGGTATTATAGGCCGGCCACTGCACTTTTGGGGATCTTTTGGAAAGAGCTAACAGGGTCTCTACCCCTTCCAGTGACTTGCCTTTATTAAGTTTAGATAAGATTATTTTCAAAGGTTCTTTGGAAAGCCCAATTCTAAAAAGGATTCCTTTCAGTTTTTGAAATTTGGCTCTGTTTTTAATCAGGCTCAACAGATGGTTTTGTTCTGTGGTGTATCATCAATTCAAGATGTCAGGAAGTTGCAATTGTAGAAACAGAGTAATAACGTGTGCTGTTTTCAAAACATACAGCTAAGCTCTCTTTCCTAACTCCCAAATTCTGAATCTGATTTTTTTTTTTTTAAATGTGTAGTTTTACTTTTAAGACAGGGAACAGAGAACCTATTTTTAGCCTAACATTTAACACCAAGAGTTTCTTGGATGCAGTCTCTTTGGAACATGGATTTTGAAAACAGGGACATTTGATTGCAGCCTTTTCTTCTCCCCGATGTGTCTGACTCATCAGAGGCAGATATATTGAGGTGGCAAGACACCATACTCCCCTGTTTCTTTTTCTCTTTATGATGAAAGTAACTTGTCTGGAGTCTTCCAAGGAAGTCTAAATAAGTGTGCACTCCGCATCCCAGTAGGAGGGTCTTCTGGAAGATTTGTCCTCCCTGGCTTCTTTCAGTTGTCATAGACAACTGAAAAATAGTAGATGCTTCTGGAAAAGTGGCAAATACAATTTTTTGTGACTGATATAATATCTTAAAATGTGCCAAGAAGGTTTGCTATTTAAAGAAAACCCATTGTGAATCCTTTTGTGAATATGAGTCTGTCTTGATGAAAATTAAATTTCTATTGTTGTTATGTACCGTGGAGTCAGTTCCGACTCATAGTGACCCTGCACAGGGTTTCTGAGGCTGGAAATCTTTATAGGAGCAGAAAGCCTCATCTTTCTCCCATGGAACAGCTGGTAGTTTTGAACTGCCAGCCTTGAGGGTAGCAGCCCAATTCATAACCACTACGCTACCAGAGCTCTTAGACTTATTTATAGTTGTGGGTAGGGGAGGAAAGAACGTATTTAAACAACTGACAAGCATTCTGGAAAATTTCTCCATGAACGTGTGTCACTTTTGTCATGAAAATGATAAGACTTTAAACATTGTTCTTTTAAAAGAAAATCAATCACCAAACTCCTGAACCACCCACAGACATTTGCTTAAATGCCTGCAGTGCCAAATCAGGCCCCGGATTGAGAGAGACCTTAGCCTGGGTGACTGCTTCCACTGGCTTACTCACATGTGACCCTCACAATACAAACATTAGTGGGCGGTGGTCCCATTGTACAGATTTGGAAATAAAAACTCCAACTCATACAGGGTGATGAAAAATTGGGAAAATGCCCCAATACCAGAGAGCACTCGTTCTAATGTAGACATGGATAATAAATTAGTAAAACAAAACAAAACAAAACAAAAAAAGCTATAGAAACATAGATAACTTGCTGCTAAGGGGAGAATTAGGGTGCTACTCTCTCTGGAAAAAGGAATATTAGCAACATAGTCCTTGCTTGCAGAGGGTTAGGGAAACTAGCCTCTGTTCTATAACCATTGGACAGGATAAGTAAATGCTAAATGTTGTGAGCCATGACTATGTATGGTTGGAATGATGAAAAGGGAAAGATGGTTGTGTGCTGAAAGATTTGGAAAAAGCATGAGCTAGGATGTGGGGATTGAACTGATCCTTCAATTGAACTGAGCCTTTAATTGCACTTGGTCTGTTGCCCGACTCTTCTTAGAAATGAGATTTTCTTGTCCTACTGCCAAATTCTTTGGGTGGAGGATTTTTTGTTTTGTTTTTTAGACATATGCATGGAAGAATTTTCTTCCTCCTCTCTTTTGCATTTCTTTTCTTCCTTTTTCTCTCTCTACCTGTAGCTGAAGCCACAGCAGGAGCCAGGAGTATGTATTAAGCACCAGCTTATGCATGGAATCATGAGCCTCTGAGATCCCACAGCAAAATTTCTCTAAGTGCTTCAGCCTTTGAGACTCATTCAGAACAGCTGTAAACAATGAGGGGGTTCATTCCATTTGTGTTTTCTTTGGGAATGCTGCAAGCCATCTGACTGCAAAGCCATACTAGGAAACACTTAATAACATCCTAATTTTTACAGGTATCCTAACACCCACCCTATAGATTTATAAACTGAGATTTAGGTGAAATCACAAGTCCATTGTCTGCAGTCACTAAATGATTGGACAGGAGTCAACTCTAGATCATGGGTTTGAACTACCAGGCAATAATGTCTTTCATAGCTGGCAAATTACTGCAGATGTGTGTGCAGATGTCTATACATACCTAGCTGTCTGTCAGAGTAGGGTCCCTGGCTAGCAGCATCAGTATCATGTGGAAATGCAAATTCTCAGGCCCACC